CCGGAAGTTTATTTAAGTTTTAAATGTAAACAAAGCACTTTATAAACATTTTAAAACTGAATTTTATGTAGATAACCGCATTTATCTAATAATTCTCTTAACATATTTTATTTCAGACTTATTTAATTTAGTTATAAAATATTATTTTTAAGCGCACTTTGCGATCCAGTCATTAACCACCGCTGTTGGCGGATTCAAACGCGCCCCCGTCAAAGCCAGCGACTGAGGGAGGGGGTCAACGACCCCGGAACTACTACAGGCGTAGTAGATGCGCGCAAACGGAAACGAATTTCGGAACATCGCTCTTTCAAACATCGATAAAGTAATTTTGATCGTCTATTTGGAATAAAACCTACTATTGTGTTAGTGTGTAGTGTCTTATTTTTCAACAATCAATAAATAAAATACTTATGCTTTTTCCTATACCTTTTCGTTTTCTACGGTACTTAACTAATGCGATGGTAGCGGTGCTGACGTCCTTTTTAAATGAAGGAATCGGTAAATAATATTTTAACGCATATTTCATTTATTACATCTCCTCCATATACACACTATAACTGTGCTATATCTTATGCACCGCGTGCGCGAATCTCTTAATCGTTGGATTCGATGTTATCGTTTCACGTATCGTTTTTATGTGGAAAGGTAGCAACCGAGTTGGCGGTTCACCTGAACCGCCAACTCCGTTTAACCGCCGCCCATTGACAGTTACAACAACCGTAGGGTTGCAGATGCGTTGCCACCGTTTAATAAAGTGGGCCCCAACTGCCTCATTCACCAGACGAAAAGCTTAAATATAATACTTTTACTTCACACCGGTCTTCTGTGAGGTCGTGTTACGAGTACTTACCCAGACGGACCTGCCCATTTGTGCAACAGCGAAGACTGTTGTGTGGCCGTACCACAGTAAAGTATTTTCAGGAGTAAAAATTAAAAAAAATATTTTCGGTAAAGGCTTAAAGTAATTAAGTAATTAATGTGAAAAAGCTCATTTCAAAATCGTGAAAAATGTGAATCTATTTACTTAAAAATTAACTGTAAGGAACACGTTTGTAACGAACTGGTAATAGACGTTTGCACAGTATAATGTTCTTGAACCGTGCTCATGGCTGAAGCGTGATTTCAGCGGAATTCCTGGCAAAGCCAACAGTTTCACGTAGCAGGCGCAATATTGATTTAGGGTATAGTGTTTGCCCTTTTCACCGTATTTTGCTGCGTTCAAATGGTTTTCTATTGACTTGGAAAGGAAATAATCCAAAAAGTGAAAGAACTTAAATATTAATCCTAAAATTAAATATCGATAGATCCAACGCCATAATATGATGATGTGCCTATCCCATCTTGGTAGGATAAGGGCAGAAGAGATAAATATAGAATACTAGCGACCCACCCCGGCTTCGCGCGGGTGCAATGTATAATACATATAATCCTTCCTCTTGTATCAATCTATCTAGTAAAACAAACCGCATCAAGATCCGTTGCGTAGTTTTCAAGATCTAAGGATCTAAGTAAAGTTCTAAGATCTAGGTATACATAGGGACAGACAGACAGCGGGACGACTTTTTTATACTATGCAGTGATATGTTTTTAATGCATTCTTTTCCCGCCTGGTCCAACATACTCGGAAAATATATCATGCAAATAAAGAACAATAAAGGTGCACTGCGAATAATTTTATAGCAGTTCAAGCTGATAGAGGTATAGAGATGTGAATAGAGAGATAATTTAGATGATGCATAATTTAGAGATACTGAAGTACGCAATGGCGTTGACGGCACTCGGATGTCGCTATCCCTCGGAATTCGGCGAACGCAAAGGAAAATTTACGTGGAACGAATGACTTATGCCTTGGGCTGGGGTGATTTTGCACGGTGGCATATAAATCACTCGGGGGCTGCCGTATAAATCGAATCGGAATTTATAACCTCACGCTCGTCATCCAGGGGACAAAGACTATTGTTTTTCGCATTTCATGATCCTACGGCCAAATCAATACAACTTAACATAGTAAACATCAGTTACGGAATATATTTCTCAACAAATCGCAAATGGAATGTAATCTGTAATAGTTTTGCGTGTACAATTTATATCGTATATTATTCTCGTTTCCTATTTAATTATGTACTACTTCATACTTAATAAATAAGTATATCATTTATTACTAAAACATTGAATTCACTAGTAATTGCCCGTCGCTTTATCGCTACAGTCTGTGGGTCGCTACAGTGTGTTTCCGATGCTCTCCCTTCGAGCACTTCAAGGACTCTTCGTTCTTGGGGCGACGTGCCCAGGCCAAGGGTGGATGTTTTATCTCGAATATTTTTATAGAGATGGCAAAAGAGCAGGGAATTCTGACCAATACCTGCTGCCGAGTTTAATCAACATCGTTAATCAAATCGTCATATACCACCTTAACAGTTGGTAGTTCACCAAACACTTAGTGGATTTAGTTGTCGTCGGCGTATTTAAGGCGCGATATCAGTTATGGATCTTCACGAAGAGCCTGTTCCTACCTCATATGGTGAAAACGTATTTGTAACTCCTCTGGTGATGCAAGTCTCCATGGGCGTTTGTGATCACATATCATCGGGCTGGCTCAAGCCTCCTAGCTAGCATAAAGCTAGCAAGGCAATTCAGTCGTGTTTGGTAGAAACCTGAAAAATGTAAGACGATGTCGACGCTATTTATTACTATGGATCCTGTTATAAATTTTCTTATATCTAAATAATACTCCTATTAAATTTTAAAGTTTAATAGGAGTATTATTAAGAAGAATTTTTATTTTTTAAAGAGAAGACGGAAGCGAATCGTGTGCAACTCTGTTGATTGTGACTAATTTGAATTATTTTTAATAAAGTCTTTACATGTTAAATTAAAGTTGTAATTTTAGTACTCATTTTGGCAATTTTACGTTTTATCATATTATTGTGGTCCAAAATGTGAGCTATAGTTATTATATAACGAGCGGTTTGTGGTACCTACAGCTTGACCGTGATGTGCCCTCTTAAGCACGCATAGTTTAGATTAATTCTTGTCAAAGCATCTTGTCGGTAAATTCTTAACTCGCCTGCTTGGTCATTTCACCGTTATTATGTTATTACAATCTCAATATAGAAGAAATAATTCAAAAGTAAGGAAAAATCTTTATCTGCTTATTACATTTATTATTTTCAACAATATTGAGTAACAGGAATGCAAAATAATTTTAAGTGAAATGTATTATTTACCGACATGAATAAAATTTGCAACTTTTCTGAAAAGTCGATTTAATTAAATTATAAACATGGATGAAAATGTCAAATAGTTCTAAGTATACTTCGCACCGTGCGTAGAATAACGTTCTGTGGTCACATAGAACGAATTTGATTTTATCATTGGAAAGTCTTAATTATTGTCTACGCTTTCAGATGACATAATTTTTTTTTTCGTCTGACTTATAGATATTGAGATACAGAATAGAACAACGTTCTATCTGATTTATGCTCCGCAGTACAAGGACATTTATGTACGTTTAGACATTGTTTTTTTGTAATGACTAGACGAAGCTTACTAATGTAATAGACGAGTGTAAAATACTCTATTAGAGTCAATTGATAATTATTGCACAGTCACTCACTTTTTATGGTTTCTTCGTTGAAAACAGTGCTACATGCGTTTGTATCATACATATTTTCTGAGTTTTTAGTAGAACAACATTATAAATGAAAGTGTGACCCATTATTTTTTAGAATGTTCCGTTGAACAACCTTATATAAACGTGTTTATGTGGTCTTGTGACCCATTACTGATTGCCATTTTCCGTAGGAAAACGTCACTATTACACATGAAACCTCTTATTTCCTAAATTTATATAATTATTAATTCAAAAAGTATACTGTTTGTTAATATACCTAATTATATCACAAGCCTCAAAAATTGTAATACCAACTGCTATCTATAAGAGAACTATAACGAAAATAAAAAAAATAATAATTTGAATCGGCCGTCCTGAACAATTACAATTTTGCAGATGTCACGTTGTTCTACACAGGGTGCGACTTAAGGCCCATTTACACGATGCCATTTTCTTGAACATACAAGAGCAATAATTGAATGCAATAAATTGCGCGCAATAATTGTTTAGACCATTTGTTGTTTAGACCATGCAACTCATTTATTGCTTCAATTTAATTGTATACAACAGGCAAGAAACTGGCATCATGTAAATGGGCCTTTATAAACCGAGTCTTTAGTTGTATATATGTCTTTATTACTTTTGTAAACCATATTTTATATGCCTTATACACTGTTATTTAACATAATTTACTTTTATATTAGACCAAATAATCGCTAGGTCAGTTGAAAGCTATAATCGTTATATAGACCATTTTCGATTTAAATATCATTGTAGTCATTAGATCTCTTCATTAATAAGAATTTTCTTCACTGTATCACGAGTAGAAATTGTCGCCGCAAACGTAGATTATAATGGTATGGGTAATTAAAACATTTTCGATCACAAAACCCTTAGCTTCAGAAGATAAATAAACCTTGACTTTTGAGCTAAGACCTTAAGCATAAGACTACGCAAATTAATATCAATTGTCTGTCACATAATTTAGTTTCAAGCAATCTAGTTTACTTATCCGTCGGATTTCGTTCCAACAGGGCAGAGCCGGGCTTTAAGATAATTGCTTCTGAGATATTGTAACCGAGGCGTGCTAGCTAGATTACGGTCAGACAAAGTGAATCTTCAACGTTGGACGCTGTCGATACATATTTTCATTTCATTTGAGCCTTTTATAGCGGAGCTACGTATTTCTATTATCATTTTCATAGCTATAATTAAATTATATTTATTTCATTTGAAAAGACATCACCACAAAAGTCAGATGTAGGCAAGTGGTATCTATTAAAAAAAAAAAACATCATTAAAAAGTTGCTTTTGCTTAATTAATCGAAATCAAAAACTTATGCGTAAAACTTTAATTCGCTTGTTGCGTGTAGACATTGAGTTAAATATGAGTCTGTGGTTCGAACTGTATAACCACGCCGAATATGAGTGTGCTGAAAAGTTTGGTAAGAAATGTGCCATTAAAATATTTCAATAATTTTAAATAAATGAAACAAAATTATAATCATTACAATTATTATTGAATAATTTAAAATGCATCGTTCAGCGCTCGAGAGGTATCATTTACATGTCTTTATCTAAACATAGTTACATTTAGATAGATTTAATTATCCTTATATATTTTGTTAATAACATATCATAACTATAAAGGTGACCCATCGATAACTTAAAAGAACATGCAACTTCTATCTTCCCGCAGACAGCACAAAGTTAATCATAATACTGTAATCGTTGTAAGAAATAAATAAGTTACTACAATTAAAGAAATAATCACAGCATAAGTTCACAGTGAGAATAGTGATATCGAATTTCGACTACAACAATAAATAATAATTAAACTACATCGACAATACCCAACAGAAATCGAAACGAAAACGTCCGATGAAATCACATAGGTACGTTACTCGTATTATAAGCACTTTGGAATCTAAATTCACTATATACTTTACACCTTCATCACGTCGGCTAAGACTAAATACATTTAGAAAATCTACATAATTACAATGTTACACTAAGAATCTAGACTCTTTGAATTCTTCAGCGACCTCAGCATTCAGGGGCATCGATTTCACTTTCTTGCTCTTTTCCATTGCGCTGCTCAGATTGTCCCCGGTGAGGGCGGACGGTGCTCCGAATACTGAGCTCTTGGAGCTGGGCGCGCTGTTCCCGGGGGAGTGTGACGCGCTGTCGGCACATTAAGCGAAAGCCCAGATACTTATTTGACCTGTTACCTGCACGAGACACCGTGGCTCAGATTGTCCCCGGTGAGGGCGGACTAGGGGGCTGTCACTCGCGGCTAGGGCTATTATTGCATACAGTCAGCTCCTGGCCCGGTATAGACACTATCTGGCCGATCTGCTTCTGCCTCACGAGGTTGATACTCTGGCAGACATTCTTAGCGTCGGCATCGCCCGCCTCCCTCTTGTGGTATCTAGTGAGCGTCCCCGCCGAGCCCGCCGAGTGGGGCCGGTACATCGGGAAGAACTGCGACTGCGGGTAGTACTGCATTTCGGGCGGGACCTGCCCCGGGATCCAGGGGCTCATGTTGGCCACCACCGGCGGCATGTGCGTCCACATGGGCATTTGCACCATGTGCGTGCCGTCCGGCATTGGTTTGAAGTTGGGTGGCACCTGCATCGGCCTGACCACGCCCACGGGGGTCGGCGCGCTGTGCGGCCTCATGGCCGGGTGCCCGTACTGCCCCGCAAACTCCTCGCCTTCGTAAACGCGCGGCGTCTGCGAGTAATCGACGTTCGGGAAGATGGTGTGGGGCCCCCGCTGGAAGTACGTGTACATCTGTTGCTGCGCCTGCTTCATAGCGACGTACTGCTGCAAATGTATCGCCGTCTGCTGCCTCTGTTGCGCCAAGTCCTGCGAGAAACCGCTCGTCGTGTTGCCGTGGATGTAGTATATGTTGGACTGGTTGCCCGGCTGCGTCGTCGGCACTGTCTTTGGCACGTTATTGTATTTATTGTCAACAGTATTGTTTTGTGGGTCTTGGTATTCCTCCGGCGGCGCAATATACTTTGGCGGCGAGGGAGGAGTCACTTGCTGCGATTTGGGGTAGCTTATTATTTGCGCGATGTACGGTTGCTGTCCTTTGGCGGAGTGCGCGGGGCTGTGGCTCTGGAATGTTGGGTTGTAAGTTATTTGCGAAGTATCTGGGCTGATATCACTACAACATTCGGTTTCCTTTTGGCTAGCTCTTTGGTGTTCGTTCGTTTCAGTCTTTTTGGTTTTCTGATTGTAGGGTGCAACCTTTGGGTTGCCCTTCCAGTTGGCGCCGGCGCTCTGCGGCCTTTTGACCGGTGATCTGGACGGGTCGTGCCAGTTGTCGCCGTTGACCGGTCGGGGCTCCGGCGGATGGTGGGACTGGGCGCTGTGGGCTCTTCTCGGCGGCGGTGACATTCCCTCGGGCACGTGCTGTTGTCTGTAGCATCTTCTGACCGCTCCAGGGCTGTTCTGGCGTTCGGGTGGCTGAGGCATCGGCCTTGGAACACGTCTGCGTGCAGGCGTAGGGGGGCTGCTGTGCGTTTGCGAGGTCTGCGTCGATTGGGACGCGGAACGCCACTTCTCTATCAACATACGCCGCCGCTCCTGCTCTAAGCGCACTTCGGTTTCGCTGGAAGAGTCGTAGTCCTTGCCCTGATGGAAACGGAATTGTAGTTAGACGGAAATTCCCAGAGGAGTTTAGACGGAATTGCGCTTAAAATCTCACCTTCTCGATTTTCTCGTCCAACATTTTGAAGAAATCTTGTTGACTGGCAGACACCTCACTGTAAATAATGTAGCTTGATTAGCAGACTATATGAGGCAATATGAAGAAAAGTTTGGAATTTAATTAAATGAATATAGGTACTCATAATATAGGTTCAAATGTCAAATACAACTTTTCTGTAAAATAATAGTCTTTTAGTTTGTATAAATGCTTATGAAGTGAGCTTTTCTATATTTCTCGCCTTCACTCAGACAAAAGTTTTTCCTCGTCCTTTGCCATAGTGCCTCTGCTCTCTCGCATTGTCTTAGCGTAAATTTATTTTCAATACGCACATTTCTTTATAATAATAGTATTTTCAATTATTTTCATATTAAAGGTAATAAATAAAAAAAAATAACTTAAGGCCGACCTTAATTGATCCATGTGATACGTGTCTTGGGCGTAATTCGGAGTATATCTTAATGGTTCACAGTTTTGTAAGTTTAATCCAAAAATTGCTATTAATAGCTTAATTGGCAATGACACTGCTATTTGAAATTATATGGTGTGAGCAAAACGATTTATTCACGACTGTTCGTATATTGGGAAGCGAAATACAAAAATAAAAACTAAATAAAACATACATATATAATAAAAACGAAACAAACATACAACGATAAAACTTTAAAAAAATATTTTACAATAGCTTATGTAATGTTATTGTCCTACACCATCGCCTCATGTATGTATGATTTTAATAACGTACTTTCGTTAATTAACTACTCTTTCATTCCAGATGTTCACAAATGAAATAAAACTGATATAAGTTATTACGATTGAAAATTGAAATTTCCATACGACTTCAAAAATGGAGGATGCTCTTAATTCGGTTGTATTTTATTTTTTCATGTCTTTTACGTGGTTTGTTACGTCATTTATGATATGAATTTAAAAATAAATTTTACATTGGTGTTGGTTTAGAACCCACGTAGTACCTTATTAATTGTATTAGTATAGGACCTTGGACATTGGAGATGCATCAGGGAACTCCTCAAAATGAAATATAATAATTGAGTGAGATATGTGAAGACGGAATCGTTTTTTGCTAATAAAAATGTTATACTTTTTTATTCAAAGCTGATAAAACCTTTGAAAGTCTATTCATTTAACATATTTATTTGTATATAATTATTAGATTAATATTTTGTAAGAATATTCTAATGAAGGATTATATTGAGATACTTTCTGTAAAGCAATCCAAGCTGATACCTAGGAGGGAAATTTAGAGGGCGAATAAGGGTCGGAGCCGCTTCTGCGTGCTGCGTAATTCTTGCGACATTGAAAAGACTTAGGCGCAGACCAAATCAATATTCGCTCGTTATGATAATCTGCTACAGATGCGCGTAGTACAGGGGCGCGTTATCTCGTGGCCTTAATTAGTTTCAAATTCGAAACAATTATTATGTACAGTTTCAGTTGTTGATATAATTTTGAATGGCTTTAGTTTTCACTTAAATTTTAAGGGAAAATTTACTTGATTTCGACTCAACTAGCGCTTGTCAAGCATATGTTAATAATTGTTTGATTAAGACTGCGATTAACACACTTGTTATTATTACTTAGTGTTACAAACATTTTAGGTTCACTATCTCTGCATTTACTTTATTTACGTATAAGTATTTCAGCATCATCATCATTTCAGCCTGTTTGAGTCCAATGCTGAACATAGGCCTCCCCCATAGACTGCCACGTAGTACGATCCTGAGCCACCTGCATGCATCAGACTTCCCGCACTTTTTCACAGGTCTTCACTCCACCTAGTGGGGGGGTCGTCCTACATTGTATACGGATTTAATTGACTTGAAGTTAGGGAGTTATCGAAAGATACATACATCGTTTGTGGATGCGCCGAAAGGGGCAAGATATGTTTGCTGCGCTCCAGCTCATCCCCCGTCTCGTCGGGAGTCGCTGCTCCCCCCGCGCTGCCCTCTTCTTCGTCCGTCTCTTTATCCGCTGCGCCTAAACATGAGTAATATTGTTTTGATTAGTAAAAACTCCCCAGCTTCAGCAGTCGACAGTTTATTGAAGGGAAACTGCTAATGTAACTTCCAATAAGTTTGCGTTAGACGTTTAACGCTGCGATGGAGAGGGTATGAAACCACCGTTGCGTTAAACGTTCAACGCTCCTGGGGAGGCGGAATAGAAAGAGACAGAGCGAGAGTGAATGCGTGGCACTCGAAGTTTCACTTCTTCCGCGCGGAGGGACTCCACGCACTATTTCTGTTTACTTCTGGCTTGCCGAATTCTTGTGGTAAAATTAAAATTCCTCATTTCAGAATAAATGTTTGGTCGTGACACCAACCCAGCTCAGATGTCAACCACTTGACTTAACCAGGTGCCGCAAGGGAGCGTCTTTAGTTTTAATTATAGCTTTCCTTCTGGAAATTTCGATCTCTTTAATAAGCCCCGTAGGTGACAAGCGACGAAAGTCGAGAAAAAGGGAATGAAAGCCATAGTGCAAGAGGTTTCACCTTAGACTACGTCTCTATACTCTGATCAACTCTTCACGACATCGCTTTTTCAAAAGCCGTACGTCGGATAGTCGCAAAAGCGGAAAAACGGAGAGAAGTGTTAATTTTCATATAGGTTCTTAATTGTTTTGCTTTAGAATAAAAATTGAAAACACATTGTAAACACAGTGTATAATACATAAATTACAATAACATGTACTTATTGCCTTATTGAAATTAATTGGATTATTAAGGTCTTGATGAAGTTTACATATTATGTAAAAAAAATAAGGTTCCGAAAACTTGTAAGACACGAGAGACGGATCCATCAACTTTGCCCAAACAAAAAAAAATCGAGCACTAAAAATCGTTCAATACGTTTGCGCGTTTGAAAGCAAATTTGCTATGATCTGGATGAAGCCAATACAAATAACAAAACCTCACGGCTGTCTGTTTCCAAATTGCCTTCTGTTGTTGTAAGGGTGCGAGCCGTTTCATTTTTATATCCTACATGGATTATTCGAATAAACATGTAAAACCAAATTGTATTTATTTTGAATAAAAAAGACTTTGGTATTACGTATACATACTGCCTTATAAGCCGCATTGTTTCCACAAGCCAAAAAAAAAAAAGGTTTAAATGTTTGCATTATTATCTAATGATGGGGCAAAAGTTAAGCTTTTGCCCCATCAGTTAAGCTTAATAGGAATAATCAATTGTCAATTAGTTTTATCTGTTAGTTGGAACTGAACACACAGAATTTCATTGAAAGTTGTGCAGGAATGGGAAATGCAATCACTCGCTTACAATAGACGGCGAATTCGAGCTGCGATTGACAATACTGTTTAATTTCTTCATTTATATGTGCTGTTGCTTTCGCACGAATTAATCACGAATAAGTAATATTATAACACAATTTCTGAAGTTTATATCCTTATCGAGATATAGAGTTTAGGCTTAGTCAGATTTTTCCTATTATATTAAGACAGGAATGTCGTGACAACTGGTAAACCAGTTCATGTATTTTCAACATTTATAATTATATATACGGTGTTGGACAATTTGAATTGCCGATTAGCTGTCTTCACAGATATTTATATATGTATATAATATTGCGTTGACGAAGGGAATCAGTTTTGTGTATACACGAACATTCTTTTGGTCTTTCAATAATGCAAGTTAAGCGTGAAGCCTCTTAATGATTAGAGTTCATAATTTCTTCGTTACCTTGTTAGAAATTTGCTAAACGCTAATGTTATTTATTACATCGATATCTATTTAATAATATAAAAAGAAAGTAAAAATCCTGTATCTACTACTGTATCGCGTGAAATATGTTCACGTTTTGTTTAAAAAGGTCTGTTTCATTTTATTTAGTGGTGCCATTCGAGATCTTTCAATATTCAATTCAAATACTAGTTAGTACACATACATAGAAAACTCGTGCCTCATTTTGATCGTTGTAATATCAATACGTTTTAAACATAATAAAAAATTGATTAAAAAAAACTTAATGGTTTCGGGTATTAATCGCTTTTTAATGTTGCGCTTTTCTCACCTTCTCTCATAATCTAACGAATATTTCAAGGGACAAAATGAAATCACCAAAGTGAGAATCAGTCAAATTACTAGTCTCCGGTCATCATTCGGATCGTGACTCATTAGCCGAGCCGCGGACAGCTAAAAGTGGTCTGGGTGTAACGAGGTTGTTCTACCTCCCCACTTTACGGGCTAAGTTTCTAATTGCGCGATAAATGTTGTTATTGTTGCTGTTGCCAAAGGCCAGGGAAGTTATAGACATCACACAGTTTTGTGATGGGACATAACACACTACTAGCTTTTTAGATGTAAAAATCAATACTAAATAAATTTATATAATTTTTAACAAAAAAAAACCGACTTCAAACCGAAATTAAAAAAAAAACATTGTTGATACTTATGACATTTGGTGATTGCCCTCGATTTCTCTGGCATACCATCATCAGATCTGGGTTTCCTTATCATGGTACCACCCTTGGGATATCTCCTTTCCACCAAAAAAGAATCATCAAAATCGGTTCATAAACGACGAAGTTATCTGCGAACACAATAAAAAAATATAATATATACATAATATATATCGCGACAATAAATTAACACACATATTTTAGAGGATACCTTTTTGAAATTGTATTAAACATTTACTTTCTTTAAACATCAATATTTACAGAGTTATAAAATTTTCCAAAACAAAGAATTTTAGAACATCCTTACGTATAAAACTGTAACGTAAAGTTTATTTGTGAAGGTCACAAAGCATATGAATGGGTTGAATGAATTTAAAAGAGACAAAACATACTGTTAGAAGGAGAGGCTTGTAATGCAACGCTGTGGCAACGAATGAAAGTCTCTGAATGTATGAATCAGTCAGTTGTAGTTGTATAGGATGTTACAAATTTTGTTTCTTTTTTACTTAATTAGTTTGTTTGAAAAATATATTTTTTTAATTATGGTATTTTATTAACGGTAATATTTTTTTATGATTATTGGCAAGTAGCGTTAGACGTGTGTTCATTTATTGTCACGATGGTAACGACACGCTGTATATACGGTCGAATTGAGAAACCTCCTCCTTTTTGAAGTCGGTTAAAAATAAAAGGTGGTCAATAGATCAACTACATTCATCTTTTGACAGTGAAAACGAATATACCTGCCAGATATTTTACTTTTTATTATAAATCTGCGATGTATGGATACGAGTTTCATTTATTAAAACTATTTCGATGACATTTGCAATTGAAACAGATATATGCGTGTCTGATCGATGTTTGTAGTGTTTATCAGTTGTTGCCAGATACTAGACATAAAAGGTAGATAAAAAATTAAACGGGCTTAGCCATAATTGACCGTTTATTTAAATGCACCGTCAACATGTCCTGGATCTTCGTGTTCCCTAATTAAGGTGGCATTACCCCGGCTCGAGGGACAGCGGAGTAAACAAACGTCTGATTCTCAGATGGTACCGCACGCGCCTCCCCTATCTTTTAATTGGCTATAGTAGTCGAGATAAAACTCAAGCGAGTCTACCTTTTGAATTGTCTCGCTTCACGTAATGGCGGATTAAAGAGTAACCCGACTATATAAGATTTGACTGTGTTATCTTTGAAACGTTTAAGTCAGGGGTTTCATAAAGTTAAACTCTTTATTTAATAATACATCAACTTTAATAAGAATGCCTGATGGAGTCGAGTCATGTCATCAAGGCGTATAACAATTTTTCTGAGATGATATTAATTCTTGAATCCAAGAAATTGAATAAAAATATTTCATCGAATAAAAGACTTCGTGTTTACAACTTAGAACATCCACTGCAACTAGGCAATCCGTGTACATGGCAATCGTATATACAATCGTCTGCCAGACACAATAAAGAATGAAACAAGTGAAACGTTTAAACGAAAGTTGATAGAATGGCTTCTCAGCAAGTGTTTTTATAGTCTTTCAGAATATTTCAATAACTAATTTTGTATGTAAAATTATTATTTAATTAATATAATTATAATAGTAAATATAGGTGACATATATAGCAATTTGACGATGACATGTATTATTTTTTATTTTCTCTTTGACATATTTATGACAATTTGTATAACATTTATCCATAATTTTTTTTATAGTTTTGTATTAAAATTTTATGTTGAAATTAAATTAAGATGATTTAATATTTGTACGCCTATAAGAGAGGCAGAATAAGTGAACTTCTGTATTAGATTTAAAACCATTATGTATTACCTTATTCTGACAAATAAATAAATAAATAGGTGGGAATTGAGACCTTCCCAAGGATCGCTGGCTGACGTCGGTGAAGTGATACTAGCCCCATGGTGATCTGATAATGATAACACTGGGAATTGAGAAGTGATTACCTCCAACAAAATGTTATGTTTGTTTAACGCATCAACTGGAAGTCCCAAAAATAAGTTATCTAAGTAACATTATGAGCATTCTTAGCCCTTCATGACGGAAATGCGTGACATACGTGTCTCCTTTGTTTTGACACGAGTATTCCTCAATTCGGTTGTTAACGAGTAAATTTGTTAAATGCAATAGAGTAGGTTTTTTAAATAAACACGAGAACACAAAGTGTGCAAATAAAAATAGTAGGATATTGCTTATTCAGATAATTGTTGGAGTGTGATTATTTTATTAGATACTCCTATATCAGTACGTTCGTGTTTATTCCGTTAAGGAGAAATTATTTGTCCAGCTATGCACACAAAAACAAAGCTTATTTTAAGACTACCTGGAATAAATAAGCAACTTCGGCGTCGAGTCTCGCTATAATTTCCGATCGGGAAATCCGTCTTTCCGACTCAGACAGACCATTTTATCAGTTCAACGGCTCATCTAATAATTCGGAAATGACTGGAGTCTCTCGCTGCATGAATTGAAATTTAACAGACCGACTCAAACTTTAATTATACAAGCTCCAACTTCAATTATATTAATGTTTTGTAAAAATTTTACTA